ACATAACACCTGGCTGTGAAAAGCAGCGAGGTTTCTGTCTGCAAGGGAGAGATGGCTGGAAAGGCAAGCATTCTCTTAAAGGGCCAATGCAGAAAGTTTCATGTGCAGCCACTCATCTTGGGCTCCGGTGGAGGGAGGCAGAGTGGAATAGAGCTGTGTGAGAAGAATCCAGAGGTGCTGGCTTGGGGATAGAGCTCAGAGGACAGACATATGGATTCCTGAGCTGAGTCTTTCCCCAAATGGCACAAGACATCTTTTCTCAGGCAGACATTTACCATGCAAACAGCTTTTGTCTAGGAAGGAAGGAATTGCCCCACCCTGTGGAGTTTCTATAGCCTGAGGCTCATTAAGACACTGATAACAGTCAGTCTCTGGATACTTTGAGTCTTTGCTTGATTTGCTTCTGGATCCAAGGCTTTGAAAAGCAGACCTTGGTGGACATCTTGGTCCTGTCCAAACATACCCATCCCCTAGCCCCTGCAGAAAGCTTCAAACAGGGTACTCAAAGGCAGTCACAAACAACATCTGACACTGGCTGCATCAAAGACCATCCTAAAGACTGGGAGCCCTAGCAGATCTACCTAATACATAGAAACAAATCCAAACAGGCAGCCAAAATGGGGAGACAAAAAAACCAAGCCCCAAATGAAAAAACAAAAGAAATCTCCAGAAGAGCTAAGTGAAATGGAGATAAGCAATTTATCAGATAGAGTTCACAATACTGATCATAAGGATGCTCAACAGCGTGAGAAAGGATATGCAAACTGAAGGAAATTAAGAATGACATAGTAGAAATAAAAAAAAATATTGGAAGGAATAAACAGCAGATTAGGGTTAGCTGAGGATTGCATCAGCAAATTAGAAGACAAGGTAGAAAAAAAAAATCACTCAATCAGACAACCAAAATGAAAAAACAATTAAAAACCAGGAGGACAGTTTAAGGGAGCTTTGGGACAACATGAAACATAACAATATTCGCATCACAGGAGAGCCAGAAGAGGTAGGAAGCAAGCAAGGGTTAGAGAACCTGTTTGAAGAAATAATGGCAGAAAACTTCCCAAATTTGGTCAAGGAAAAAGTCATACAAGTTCAGGAGGCACAGAGAGTCCCAAACAAGAAGAATCTGAAGAGCCCACACCCGGACACATTATAATTAAAATGACAAAAATTCAAGACAAAGAGGGAATCTTAAAGGCAGCAGGAGAAAAGCAATCTGTTAGGTACAAAGGAGCTCCTATAAAACTGTCTGCTGATTTCTCATCAGAAACTCTACAGCCTTAAGGGAATGGCATGAAGTATTCAAGGTAATGCAAAACAAGGGTCTGAAACCAAGAATACACTATCATTTAAAAATAGATGGGGAACTATTTAAGTGCTGGTGAACTGTGGAGAAAAGGGCACCCTAGTACACTGCTGGTGGGAATACAGATTGGTGCAGCCACTATGGAAAGCAGTATGGAGTTTCCTCAAAAGATTAAAAATTGACCTTCCATTTGACCCTGTGACCCCACTTCTAGGAATATATCCCAAGGAACCCCAACACCAATCGCAAAGAACTTATGCACCCCTATGTTCATAGCAGCACAATTCACAATAGTTAAGATTTGGAAATGGCCCAAGTGCCCATCAGTAGATGAGTGGATAAAAAAGCTGTGGGAAGTTTACATCATGGAGTACTATGCAGCTGTGAAAAGGAAGGATCTTTTGGCCTTTGGCAGAGCACGGAGGGAACTAGAGAGCATTATGCTAAGTGAAATGAGCCAGTCGGAGGACAAGTACCAAATGATCTTGCTTATAACGTGGAATAAACAAAATAAACTGATGAACAAAGTGGATCCAGTAAGAAGCTTGGAACAAACTGAGGGATCTCAGAGGGAAGGTGGAGAGGGGTATGTGGATGGGGAGAGATTAATCAGGGAACTTGTATGTTTATGGGCATGGAAAATAAATAAATAAAATAAAATAAAATTAGATGGTGAAATAAAGAGCTTTCCAGACAAAAAAAGGCGAAAGGAGTTTATCATCACCAAACCAGCATTGAAGAAATGTTAAAGGGACTGCTGTAATAAGCTGAAATAGAGGGAATGAGAAACATAGGCATAAAGAAATAAAGTGTCAATATACAAGTACCTATCAATAATAACCTTAAATATAGATGGATTAAATGCTCCAATCAAAAGACATACGTTAGCTGAATGGATAAGAAAACATGACCCAAATATATGCTGTCCACAAGAGACTCACCTCAGAACCCTTATGGAGGACTTTAAAGGAGAGATCCACAACAATACAATCATAGTAGGGGACTTTAATTCCCACTGACTTTACTGGATAGATCTTCCAAACAAGGAATCAACAAGGAAACAGTGACTCTAAATGACACACTAAATCAGATGGATTTAATTGACATTTACAGAACATTTCACCCCAAAGCTGCAGAATATGCACATGGGATATTCTCAAAGATAGACCACATAGTAGGACACAAAACAAGTCTCTACAAGTTCAAGAAGATTGAAATCATATCAAGCACCTTCTCGGACATTTATACCATGGAATACTATGCAGCTGTAAAAACGAAGGAGCCCTTACCCTTTGAGACAGCATGGTGAGACCTGGAGAGTATTATGCTAAGTGAAATAAGCCAGTCAGAGAAAGACAAGTATCACATGATCTTACTCATATGTGGAATCTAAGGAACAAAATAAACTGATGAACAAAATAGATCCAGAGACACAGAAGCATGGAACAAACTGACAAATCCCAGGGGAAAGGCACAGTGGGTGGGGGGGAGAGATTAACCTAAGAAATTATATGCATATATGCATAAACCATGGACACAGAGAATAGTGTGGTAAAGGCCTGTGCAAAGGGGTGCAGGGTGGACAGAATCAATGGGGGGGGAAGGGTACATTTGTAATACTTTCAACAATGATATTTTTATTTGTTTGTTTTTAAATATATCTTTATTGATTTCAGAGAGAGGAAAGGAGAGAGAGAGAGATAGAATGATAGATCAATGATGAGAGAGTCATTGATCGGCAGCCTCCTGCACACCCCCAACTGGGGATCGGGCCTGCAACCCGGGCATGTGACCTCACAGGGAATCGAACCCTGATCGCCTGGATCCCAGGTCGACGCTCAACCGCTGAGCCACGCCTGGCTGGGCAATGATGCATTTTTAAAAAAGAAAAGATATATGCACCCCTATGTTCACTGCAGCATTACTAATAATAGCCAAGCTAAGGAAACAACGTAGGTATCCATTGATAGATGAATGGATAAGGATTCGTGTGTACATTAAACATTATGAAAAGAATGAAATCATAAAAAGAATGAAATCTTGGCATTTGAGACAACATGGATAGACCTACAGGTATTATTAAATAAGTCAGAGGATGACAAATAATGTACCATCTCACTTATATGTGGAATCTAAAAAAAATCCCAAAATAGCCCTCGCTTGTTTGTCTCAATGGTTAGAGAAGCAGCCAATGGACCAAAGGGTCGCAGGTTCAATTTCCGGCTCCAGGTGGGGCAAGAGAGGGAGGCAACCAATTGATGTGTCTCTCTCACGTTGATGTCTCTCTCTCTCCCTCTCTCTCTCCACCCCTCCTCCCTTCCTTCCACTTTCTCTAAAATATCAACAGAAAACACATCATCAAGTGAGGATTAACAAAAAACAAAGCAAACAAACAGACCCACAGATATAGAGAACAAGTTGATGGCCACCAAAGGGGAAAGGGTTGGGGATGTGAATAAAAAAAAAAAAAAAATAAGCATAGGACTTGAATAGAGATGCCCCCAAAATGGCCAATAAATAGGCACATGAAAAGACACTCAACACTATTCATTTGGAAAATGCAAATAAAAATCACAATGAGATACAACTTTATACCTATCAGAATGTGATTATCAAAAAAAGCCAAAACACCATAGAAAATAACTCTGTTGGTGAAGATATGAAGAAATTGGAACCATGTGCACTGCTGGTGGAAATGTAAAATGTGTAGCCATAGCAGAAAATAGTTCAGAGTTTCCTCAGAAATTTAAACATAAAATTACCATATGCCACTAAACTGTACCCTTAAAATAGTTAAAAAGGTAAACTTTGCTATGTATATTTCACCACTATAAAATCTGTAAAATAAATGCATGCACAGGACCTACCACTTAAATGTTATAATTATAGAACCAGATATGAGATAACATCAACATGGAAGAATAAAGAATATCAACTGACTGATAGTGTTGTAGGCATCCCAATGAGATAAAAAAAACAACAACAAAGAGTCAAAAGGACATCATTACTAATATACTTTGTGCACGTCATGATTTTTATGATCCTGTTTCTTCAAATGTCAAATGTGGATTATTGAAGGTCATATATATTAAAGTTTTTTAAAAAGTGATGGATATATAACTGCATATTTGTTTAGAAATGAGTATTAGAAAGTATTAGAGCATTATTTGCTCTGTTGCAAATAAACATGAAAAAATGACGGAACCATATATAAGAAATGGTTTGCATTTTCCCATGTAAGCTGAATTCTACAACAAATTTTGCAGAGTTTTCTGTGCTGCTTTAAGAAAGAAACTTGCTTATTTTAAGTTAACTTTGGGACCTGAAGACAAATAGCCCGAATAAAAAAACGTACAAATTTTTCTTCATTTTGAAGTTGTAATCATCAGCGTGTATAGACCACTTATTGCCTTCCAAACTTGTTTAAAAGTTACTCATTATGCCAGGCGAGTGTGGCTCAGTGGCTGAGTGCTGACCCATGAATCAGGAGGTGACAGTTTGATTCCTGGTCAGGGCACATGACTGGGTTGCGGATCTGATCCCCAGTAGGGGGTGAGAAGGAGGCAGCTGATCAATAACTCCCTCTCATTGATGTTCCTCTCTCTCCCCCTTTCCCTTCCTTTCTCTGAAATCAATAAAGATATATTTAAAAACAAACAAAAACTTCAGTTTCAAGTCTATATTTTTAAGTTATTACCTAGAATCAAGAGAAGTAAAAAGCTGATCAAACTGTTTCTCCAGATCCTTTAAAAGACTGACTGTCTCCTCTTCCGTTTGACTGTGTATGTGTTCAAGCATCTTGGAAGAACAAAACACAAAGACTGAATTTGGTATTTTTATTTTGTAGAAATTGTACTGTTCAACATGATTTTGAAACTAAAAGGTACTTTTTGGACTTTTCAAAGTAACAACACAAGAGAAGATGATAAAAATAAAATAAGTCACACAGTTCAACTTCAAATCCTGGTACTTGTTACATCTTTGTTGGCACTGTATACTGATAAACTGCCAAAAAAGGCCTAGAAGATTAAGTTTTCTAAACTTGTTTCTTATCCCTTTTTGTCATTACAGGAAACAAATAATTTTAAATAGGTGAATTTCTGTCTGGCACCATTCCTTAAATTAAAAAAGTAACATTTTAATCCAACTATTTAAAAAATATTGACTATTCCACAAACTGCATTTTTAAACAAAGAATTGTTCCCTGAGATCTGTGACTCCTTTTTGCCTTTCAATTTCTCCCTTTTGGAATGGGAATGTCTATCTTATGCTTATCCAACCAATGTACTTTAGAAGCAAATAATTTACTAGTTTCACAGATTCACTCTTAAAGAAGAATTTGGCCCTTGAGCGTCAACCCAAACCATTTAGAAGACATTTAGATGAGATTTTGGTCTTAGAGCAGATGCTGGAATAAGTTAAGACTAAGTTGGGATGGAGTGAATTAATGTATTTTGCACGAGAAGGACATGAGTATGGGGGCGGAGAGCAGAGGGCAGACTGTTATGGGTTAAATTTTGTGCCCCCCTCCCATGTTCATATGGTGAAGCCTTAACTCCCATATCAGCTATAATCTTTTGAATGCCTTGGTTGTAAATTTGTTGTTGCTTGTTCTTTGTCACCAAATGAGTGAGCCTCTCTTTTGGAGGATGGAATAAGGGAGAAAAGAGAGTAAGACTCTTAGTGTAAGGGTATACAGTCAAGTAATGAGCATGTTAGAAAGATGATCTGCAATGCTCTGAGACAAGAAATCATGGTTCCTTGATAGAGCTTCTATGTCAGTGGGCTGCTAGCACGCTGCTACAAAACCAATCCCAGCAGGCCAGGGGAGTTTCCCATTCTTCTGTGTGTTTCTCTGTCATAAGATTATCATGCTTTATAAGCTCTAACTTCAGTGATAGTATATCTAAGTATACACATTTAAAGAGATTATGCCCTAACTCATGATAGAATTTAATCATTAAAAATGCTTACTTTTACAGCAATACTTAATTGTTCAAAATTATTGCCTGCTATCTTTAGTGCTTCATCAATTTCTTCTGCAGTTTTAGTCTCCTAAAAAGGGGAAGGGGGGCCATATATAAATGTAAAATATAAAAATAGATACTTAGACACATTATATTAGTCACAAAAACATCAAGCTACCATTTTGGTTACAAAAGCAACATAGACCCACCAAAGAAATGTGAAAATAATTAAGAAAAATAACACTGTTAATCCCACTCACCCAGAGATTAAAAACAATTAACATTTTAGAATTTTGGTTATAGTATTCCAGATTTTTTTAGGTAACTTTTTGAAAAAATAAGACTATGTCCTGTAACCATTTTGAAACTTAAAACTATCCTGAAAAATGTATCATGGCAATATATGTACACATGTAAAAATGAACAGTTCAAGAAAATATTATAATTTTGCTATGTTAACATTTAAATTTAAAGTAAAAAATACCAAGATTAAGTGCTCTCTCTCCTCCCCCAGCTCACTGAAGATCTCCTTAACAGTCTTGGCAGGGTGGCTCAGTTGGGTGAAGCATTGCCCCATACACCAAAGGTTGTGGGTTTGATTCCTGGTCAGGGCACATACCTAAGTTGTGGGTTTGATCCCCAGTCGGGGTGCATATGGGAGGCAATAAATTGATGATTCTCTCTTTCTCTCTCAAATCAATAAAAACATATCCTCTGGTGAGGATTAAAAAAAAAGGATCTCCTTAACAAAAAGATAATACTTCATTCAACAGGACTTTGGAGTTTGTTCTTTTTTCTAATCTTAAATTTAAAAAATACACTATTTAAAGCCATCAGGTGTAATAACAGGTAAAATCAATCTTCCAACATCGTTATCATCATCATCAACAAATGCCATCAGGCCTTTTGGATGCCATTAAAATAATTGTAAAAAATCACACTTAGAATTTAGAAGTGTGCACTTTATATAAGTTTCACAGAATCTGAATTCAGTAACAAAGTTCAAAGGGAAGAAGCTACATACAGGTAAATATCAAGAACACTAACAGAGTTGTCTAAGGTAGAATGGGCTGCCTTGGGAATAAGAGAGAACTTATTCAAGCACAGTTTAGAATAAAACAAGAGGTTCAAGTAAGGAATATACATTTACTTCTTACCTTTACATTTCTAAAAGAATCTGTAATCATAGGAACCTTGAGAGGAGAGGAAAGTTAAGCTACCAGAGACAAAGTAAAAATGTCTGGTTTCATCTTACTTCACAAATAAATTTTTTCATACCGCCATTACAGCTGATGAATTCAAAACAGTCCTGTGTGTGGATGGTGAATGTTCTAAACCAATAGTTAGCTGATCAGCAGTCTTTTTAAAGTCCTGAGAACAATTCTTTATCCTGAAAAATGTCAAGTACATTATTTTAAATACCAACATTAATAAAACAGTTTAAATCTTCTATTCTGATTTTTACCCTCAATCAAAAATAATTCATGTGATGAATTGTAGGAACACTCACATTGGGTTCTCAATCATCTATGATAAGCAAAGAGAGGAAACAATGTCTAAATACTAAACATAAATTTTTACATAAAAAATTTTAATCGAGAATTCAACTTAACAAATCTCTAAAAATACTAGCTTACAGCATAAATTGTTCTTTAATTTCCTACCACCTCTCCTTATCTGATAGTTTTTAGTAGAGATGTTGATAATCACTGAACTGTCTTAGCTCAATTAAAGTGAGTACATACAAATACCAGTTATTATATATAGGTCTGGATAATTTACAAACAGGTAATGAATTTACTACATAGGTTAATTTTCAAGGAAAAAGTTCCATTTCTCATCTATTTTTATCTTTATATCCCCATATTGGCTACCAAACAGTAAACATTTATTGTTTGCTGAATAAGCTAATTGAAAGTCTGTAATAATGTTTAACATGTTACTCTCATAGAGAAAAATAGACTAATTAATTTTTAAACATTCAATTACTTTGAAAAGCGAACATCCATGTTCTTAAAAACATGAGTGGATTAGCCCTGAGGAGAACATATTCAATTCCTGTTTCAAAATAGTAAAGCTAAATCATAAAGGAAATACATCAGATATCAAGGGCTACTTCTACTTAAAACATACAACTATTTTAAACAAAACTCTGCTGAAATTAGGAAATAGGAATTCCTAACATAAGTAGATTTGACATGGAAAATTTAATTTGAAATATAGTAATCTGGAAAAAATCTGGGTGTTTGAAATGGACTCATCTACTTCTGAAACTGAAATTTCTCTTTGTAACTGTACTGGATATTATACATATCTAGAAAAGAATACAATCAGATTTTACTTGCATGATATTTAAAAAGTCAGAAAATTTCAAGTCCAGATCTCTATCTTCTCTTGGGAAATAAAAAAGATGATCTGGCAACACTGGGCTGGTCTTAACACAGCAATAATTGGCTGGAGCTGAGCAGGGGCTACCTCCTTTGCAGGGGTGAACCTTCTTTCGTCTGCCACAGTCCTTACCACTCACTGTTTAAACTCAGTCTATCTCCTACAGCATGTCACCTACTGGGGTCCTATCAGAGTCCAGCGTTCAAATATGCATGGCCACTACTCACATGGGGTCAGAAAGATTCCTAAAAACCTATTCTAATCATCCCACACAAAACTTGTGGAGGAAATGACTTGTGGAATACAAATACAGGAATTGGGAGAAGTACTGGCATTCAATAAACCTGAGTTCTACTTCTGGTTGTATCAGTGACTACTGCCAGACTTTAAGTGACTTTACTATCCAAAGACATAACTGTAACTATTGTTTGGGTTTCTGTCTAAGCACACATTTAAGTCTGGACAAAGAAGCTGCAGCACTAATGTGAAACGTCACAAATGCTTAAGAATTTTGGGTTTTATTTGGATAGGCAATGAAGAACTATAGAGCAGGGAAGAGTCTGGAAGTGCTAAGGAGGTAGGAAAAAGAGAATTAAATAGGGGAGTAGAAATGGAAACTAAATTATGGATATGAGAGATCTTGTGGAAGTTAGAATCTGAGGGGGTAAAATGAATGAGAGATGAGGAACTGGATGCATTACAGAGGCTTTGAAGTCATTAACAGAATTGAAAGGTTTCAAATGAGATTGTTTCTTGAGGGTATCCTATATTTTTTTTGGTCCCAACATAATCTAATATCATATTAAATATTTTAAAAGGTTAAAAGTTATACAAAATTAGAACTGCCATCTGAATAGAATCCCAGTGAATTAATTAAGACATTCTTCAACCCTTAAAAAGTTGCAAAGCAACAAAAAGCAAACTTTACTATTTTTCATCATGATCCATTCCAAAGTCAACCCTAAATGTAAACTTACCTAAGATCCAAAAATGATTTCAGAAAAACTATAGCAAATGCCATGGTTCTTCATCTAACAAACATTAAATGTTTACTCTGTGTCCAGACCAGGGATGCTGAAAGCAGTAAAATGTGAGGCTTATAGTCTCACAGAGGGAGACATAATATAAATAAATAGGTGCAATAAAAATGACATNACATTTGGGAACCTGAATTTCTGTCAAAACTCATACCTCCAGTGGCACCGAGCTTACCCTTAAATTCAGCTATGCTAAATTTTTAGTTGTCCTCAAAGTGTTTTGCCCTTAAAAAAAAAAAAAAAAAATCTCTCTGCATCGCTAATTCAAAAAGCATTTACTAATGTGCAAAGCCTTATAGAGGAATGGAAAAATGAATAAAAGAAACCCAAAGTTATTACTTATCCTTTTATAAATCACCTCTCAATCTACCTCTTCCTAAAGCCCTCCAATGTATTGTACTCGTGCTCCTCTCAACAGTCAACAGAGAAGTTCTTATTCTTTCTCCATGCCTTATTCTCACCCAGCACCAACAACTTCTGCTAGAATCGTACCCTCAGCTGTTCTGAATCTGACATGGTACTCTTGCTTTCCTTTTTTATTCACTTTAAATAAGGACAAACTAATATTGCTTCCTTAGGAGCTGAAGTCTCCATTTCATGAACAGCTAAGAAAAATTACAAACGTAAAGAGCAGTCTATAAACAATGGGTTAGAAACACTGATCTAAGAATGACATTTTATCAGTAGTACTAAAATTACTCTTATTACTCTTTCAGAAATACAATGAACTTTAAATACTAAAATAAGTGTACATAGAACATACTTTTTAGGCTGCAGCTTGTCCATAAAAGAACCTTCTTTAACATATCTATCTATTGGGTAGTATCCTTGTCTCGTATTTATAGTTGTAGCAGCCTTAGGACAAAATAAAAAAAACAAAAACAGAAAGCCAGTCAATAAATTCTATTTATGAGGAATTTAAACAACTAGTGTGCCATTCACAGATAAATTTGATAATAACCTTAAAGATCCTCAAATCCTCATTAAATAAAAAAAAAATTATACGTATATGATATTTTTACCCTATTTTAATTGGTAAAGAAATCAGTAATTTGGCAATTACAAATTAAACAGAATATTAAATTAACTAAAACACTTCATTCTACCACAATTCTAAAGGAAATACTTTAAAAATTTACTGTAGCCCTGGCTGGTGTGCTCAGTGGTTAGAGTGTCTGCCCTGAAGGGATGCAGGTTTGATTCCTGGTCAAGGGCTCATACCTGGGTTGCAGGGTCAATCCCTGGTCCTGGTTGGGGTGCTTTAGGGAGGCAACCAATTGACGTGTCTCTCTCACAATAATCTTTTTCTTTCTTTCTCTCTCTCTCTTTCTTTCTCTTTCTCTCTCTCAAGATCAATGGAAAAAAATATCCTCGGATGAGGATTAACAAAAACAAAATTGCCCACAATGAAGGCTTTAATTTGTAAAAGTATGTAATTCCAAAACAGGCATCTTCTAATACGTACATGTTTCTGGTACTATTAAAACTTGCACAAATTTTTATATATATACGTGCGCACGTGTGTGTATGTATTTTTACCACATTTAACCTGAAAACCAGTTAATCCACACCTAAATAACCAAGAGTTGACTAGAACACTTATTTTAATGGTCTTGAAGCTTGTAGAGAACTTTTACATACTTCAGATTTGACTTTTACAATCCTATGAGATAAAAGCAGGTATTATTTCCATCAGACAAATAAGGAAATTCGGGCTTAGTGTGACAGAACTAGGATTGCATTCCACATCTTCTGCCTCCACAGTAATTGTCTGCCACACTGCCACAGAAAACAATACAAACCCTCCTCATCTGATCGCTCATTAAGAGGAACATTAAGAATTTAGAGATTAAGACAACTTTCCTGAAACATATTATACTACCTAAAACAAGTTCCATTTATATTTATAGCAAATGTAAACAATGTTCATTAAATTTTATTTTAAATAACTGGCCTATTCTCATTATTATGGGTCCATAGTTTTAGTTCTAGTGCAACTGTACTATTTTTCATGCTTCTGAAGTTAACATTAACTTTAGGTACTGTTTTGTTTCTTTTTTTATATTATGGCATCTCTACAAATATAAATTTGATGACACAGGAAGATTGGGGGGCAGGCGGTATTCAAAATTTGCTGAATGGTATTGATGTAGGGAAGAAGGGTACAGATTTGTATACTTCACTAAAATAAAAATGAATAGAACCAATTCTCCAAAGAGTCAAAATATGTATGCTGATTAATGTATGACCTTAACAGTGTATTCTTCTTGACCACTTTGAATGGATGGGAAAAGCTGTATCTTTTGTTAGGCCTCTTGGCTTAAAGACTCAACAGTAAAAATGCAACTAAAAAGTTTGTAATCAGAAGTATGTTTTATTTCTCTAACATTTTTACCTTTAACATTAGGTTGCAATGTATTCAATATGAAAGATGACAAAACTTACCTCACAAGCAGGGCATATAATTGTGCAGTATTCTTCAGTTAATAAACACAGTTCACAAAAAGCATGTCCACACTGAAATTCATGGTGGTGACCTATTGATGAAATTGTGCATTAATCTTTCCACGGTTTGTTAACATTGTGCAGCATCAGTCAGAGCAGGAAGTTAAAGGGATTTTCTTATATAGGAAAAGATATCAGTTAGTTAGAAATGGATGACTTATTACACAAAATTCAGGAGAACCTACAGAGGTAAGAAGGTGGGAGAAACATCAGAAGAAAAACCAGGTAGAGTTATGTAATACTGTTTGCATTAATTTAAGATAGTTTTTGGTACCTATGATACTTTCAATTTGCCATACCTTAAAGTCATACAAAGTGCTCTAACATACCATCATTGGCTCTGTGTAAACATCATGGCTAAGTAGGCTGGGCATGTTATATGCAACAGCCTACTTCAGTTTCCAAGTTCAATACTTTCTACTTGATCATACTGCCCTCTACTAATTTATATTTTCCATCCTGTGAAGAGGACAGGGAGGGCAGATATGAGACACTAGCAAGATTCCACTCAGAATGATCTAAGACACTGGCAAGGAGAGAAGCCAGATGCTACTACTGTCACACACACGACCCACATAAAGATCATCTTCACAAACCTAGCATTTATGAGGGAAATACCATAATCTTAACTGAAAGCCTATTATCAAGATTTTAACACTCTAAGTAGAATTTAAAGTTTATCATAACAGGCATATTTTTAGCTATGCAACTTCAAAAGTATGTCTATTGATTTCAGAGAGAGGAAGGGAGAGGGAGAGAGAGATAGAAACATCAATGATGAGTTGTTGACCAGCTGCCTCCTGCACGCCCCCCCCCCGGGGATTGAGCCCACAACCTGGGCATGTGCCCTGACCAGGAATTGAATGTTGATATCCTGGATCATAGGCTGATGCTCAACCACTGAGCCAGGCTGGCTGGGCTAAAAGGATGTCATTTTAAAAGACTTCGCAAGACAAAAAGGAAAGGGAAAAAGAAACTAGATAAAATCAGTCATCTTTTGTCAGCAAAAAATTAGTGTTCTTGCTGATTAATAAGTGCATGCCTTTGATTTAAAAAAGAAAGCTTTAGTTTTTAAGCCAACAGCAATATCTGTAACTTGTTTACATCCAAGCTAACTTTTAAAGCTCTATTTAAATTTCAGATACTACCAAAGAAATAAAAACTGTTTGAACTGTTTCATACTTATAAAATTCCTTTTACAGTACAAGTCAAAATAACTTGTGGTGTATTACTGCTTACAAAGGGGAAAGCACTTTCACAATTCTAGATGCATAACCACCACCTTTCCAACTGAGTTATTTCTAAGCATTATAACACAAATGCATGGACAAACCAGTGATTTTAAAAGGTTGTGTTCTAAAACTTTATTTTTTAATAGTTAATTTCCTTCAAACAATGGATATTTTCCATCTAACAGTCACGACCAAAACACAGATCAAGGGAAAGGTGGTCTCCACCAGGAAACACAACCCACAAACTTTCTCTGTACACAGGTTCACATCTCCCAAACTGTGTCCATCTAGGAGGGACTAAGAAAGCTGATGGAATGACTCACTTTGAAAGTACAAACATTAGGCAGTTACACAGGGTAACAACAAGACTTTTCAGCAACTCCAGGAGTTGAAATTCAACAACTCATCCCTGCCAGAGGCAGATAATGCTAAAGCATTTTAAATCACATTAAAATACTGTAACTTGAACCTGTTTTCACTTGAGTAGAATCTAAATTAGCAGATCAGCGGGAACCGAAAACTGCTCTAAAACATAAAGTATAATATATATAAAATAAAGATCTTGTCTACAGGAAAAAAAAAATTAACAGATCAATAGGAGGGTGGTGCATTTTTTCCCTTGTCATACAGAAAAACCCAAGATGCATAAAAGGAATTCTTCACGGCTAACTGAGCAATAATTTCACTCCCCACCAAAAAACACGACTCTATTATCTGTTAATTCAGGAACATTTCACAGTGGTCTACTTGTCACTTCCACAACTAAAACTACACAAGAAATTCAAGTTCCATTACTTCCTGACCACAAGGCAAAAGGTTAAATTCTTACGTCGACTCTTTCGTGAACCTGCGACATTTTCGAACTGGTACTCGGGAAAGTTCACACGGTCCTTTCTTAGAGTCGGGAGAGGCCGCGACAGGGTAGGCGCCACGCCCCCTCAACTGACCTCGGGCGTCTACGCGACCCTTAGGTAGGCGACGGGAGGGGGATGCTGTGCGACCGTTTTCACGTCAGTCCCGGCCCACGCCAGCCCAGCTGCTCCCACCTTCGCAGGCCTAGCTGTTTCCGCGCCTGCCGCCCGAGACCGAGCAAAACTACAAAGCTCACCCTCGGGCTCCTCACCGGAAGCTCTGGTCACCGTTCTTTCACATCGAGTGCACTGAACCTCAGCAGCTACCCAGGGCCGACCCTTCCTTCCCATCTGCCGACACGAAGACAGGGTGACCCTAGCTGTCGAAGATTCTGCCGCCATCACCGCCGCCTTGTAGATCCTGGACTGTACCGCGTGCCAGTCCCGGCGTCCCTTGCCCCAGCGACCAATCATTAAAGGCATCACTGCAGGTAGCCAATCAGCGGGCTAAGAGATTAAAGCCCGCCCCCTCTGCCTGGCCACGCCCCACCGCTTGACCACGCCCGTGGCCGTGCACGTGCAGGGAGGCTGTTTTCAGTTTTACCCAAGCGACTTCATGCCAAGGAAGGACGCCAGGTTTTCAAGGACCATTTACTTTCAGACCTCTAACAAAAGCATCACCCCCTGAGCTCTCAGTGCCTCCAAGTCCAGATTTCATGTATTACTACTTACACTGTTGTTGACCTCGCAGGCAGCAATCAATCCTTATATTGAAGGGATTCCCCTTTCCCTTGTATCTATCAGTGCCAGAAATCCTAAACCTGTAAAAAAAAAAGTATTTTAATCTCATGTTTGAATCACCTGCTAGGGATTTGAGGGCTTGACTACTAGTAGTCTCGGTGGAGAACTGTCAGTGGCTACTGGTAGAGAAATTCAATTAACCATTTCAAACTAAGGAGTGGTCATCCTTACTAACAGTTTTTGAGCTGGGAGTGGGTGGGGAGGCTGAGAATTTATAAAGAACAGGTTTCTAACCTCTACCTAAAACAGCAACTTCTGCTTATGTAGCTTGTGGTAAGTGCCTGAGAGTAGAAACAATAAAAATCACTGCACTCTGGGAAGATCATGCCAGTATGGTATGAAAAGCCTTCCAAGGGGACAGGGGGGTTGCATTAGATCTTAATTTACAGGAGTAAACAGAGGGAAGGAGGCATTCCAGGGAGAAGGAACAGCCTAAGCAAGGGAAAGTAGGTAGGAGATGCAGTGGCCTCTTTAGAATTTAACTTACAGATCATTTGGCCAGAGTATTAATTTCCTTAAAGTGAGTTTTTGGGAGAGGTTTGTTGGAGTTGAATTTTGGACAGTTTTGAATGTTGGGCTAAAGAGTTCGAACATTACCCTTCAAGCTGCAGAATGCTGGCTAAGTGTGTGACCAAGGGATGGAGTCCTCTGGTGGCAATGTGGCAGGTGTATTGTGGGCAAGCACCTGAAGATGATGGCAGGATGCCTTCAGCAGTTAAGAATAAAAGCGTGTAGATATTCCTTCTTTTCCTCTCTTTTTTTTTTTTGAAATATAAACAGAAATTCAAAAGCTCACCCTTGATCAAAAATCTTTATGCTTTGTTGCCCTCAGGAAAAAGTACAGATTCCTTACTCCATCTCCATTCTACCTATCCAATAGTTTCTGCTACTAATCCATAATGAAACTCACAGTACTAATAGAGCCAATGTTCCCATGTAACATGTTGAATCTTCTACAGTTTTATGAGTGGTTTTCCCTGTTACCCTATCTGGAATGCACACTCCTTCCTTTTTATTGAGTTGTATTCTCCTCATCCTTCATGGCTCAGCCTTTGAACCTCTGAGTCCTTGAAACCTTCACATTTCTCCCTTCAGTCACTACTGCTCTAGCAAGTTTCCATAATCTCCTTTTCCTCTAGGATATCTGTACTGCAATTTGAATAATGGCAATCTAATTGCATAGGGATTCTTCTTGGGTCATAATATGCAGCTAATGTGGTCCAGTGCAGAGAAGTCACCTGTGAATATCATCAGGTGTGCTGGAGAGAATTATGGCTTTGGCAATTCCAGAAGTTAAATAAATCTTGGATAAATCAGTACCAGTGAGAAATACAATAAATGTTTAGACTCCATATGTTGGGTTTTAGTATTTACTGGGTCCTCTTAAATAGAGCAGCCATAATTATTGTCTTAACATGTAATTTAGATTGTTTAAATCCTTTGTCTGGAATCCTTTAGTGGCTTCCCATTGACTGTGATAGATCCTTAAAATGGCCTTCAAGGCCTCTCTAGCTTCAATTTGTATCACTTTTCACTATGTACCAGATACACTGGCATTTTTCAGTTCTGTAAGCCCGTCAACCTTAAGACCTTTGCCTGGAACACCTGTCCCTGCACTATTAAAAAATTATCATGCCTTGGCTGAATGGCTCAGATGGTTGGAGTGTTGTCCTGTACACCAAAATGTTATGGGTTTGATTCCCAGTCAGGGCACATACTTAGGTTACCGGTTTGATTCCCAGTCAGGGAGTATATGAGAGGCAATGGATCAATGTTTCACACATCAGTGTTTCTCTCTTTCTCTCTCCTCCTCTCTCTGTCAAATCAATAAACATATCCTTGGGTGAGCATAAAAAAATATCATATTTTAGCCTCACAAGAAGGAATAAAGAATAAAATTATGAATACCTATGTACCCTCCAACAAGTTTAAGAAATGACCTAATTTTATCCAGATAATCTGGTTTTATTATGTCTGGCCATTTACTCACATGTTGGGCAATTCTTTAAATATTCCTCCTTATGTCCTTCTAAGATAATTTTTCTTCTTCAAGGATGTCTTGAAGAAATGTTTTTAGTGAAGATATGTTAGTGGTGAATGCTCTTGTTTCTTATTTGGATAACAATGTATTTTTATCTCATCTTCATTCTAGAATGATTTATTAGTAACAAAAAATTCTAGGTTGGCAGTTATTTTTTCTCAGACTTTGGAGATAATGTAATACATATTTCTGACTTCTGTTGTTGCTATTGAAAAGTTCGTGGTAAACCTAATTGTCATTCTGTATAGGTAAGTTGTTTTTCTTTGACATTCTATATATTCATTATAATCTCAAGGTGTAGATATTTATTTACCCTGCTTGGGATTGATTGCAATTCCTCAGTCTGAGCATTCTTGTTTTACTGGTCTAGGAAATTTTCAACATTTATCTCTTTGAATATTACCTTTTCCTTTTTATTTCTTTTGGTACTTTTATTAGACAGTAAATAAAATTCCTCACGCTGCCCTTTATTTCTCTTAATCTCTCTTTTATAGTTTCTATTTCTTTATCTCTGATGCATTCTGTGTCATTTTTTCAGATATATATATCCCAGTTAATCAGTTCTCTCTTCAGTTGGATCTCATCTGTTATTTAACATGACCATTGAGTTTAAAAATTTTAGTGACCATTTTATCCAATTCTAGATAGTCTTTTTTTAATTTCCAAAATTTTCTGATATTTTCGGATAGTGTTGTGTTCCTTTCTCATTTAAAAAAAAATCTTCACCCAAGGATATGTTGTTATTGATTTTTAGAGAGGGAAGCAGGGGGAGAGAGAGAGAAACATGGATCAGTTGCCTCCCATACACACCCCAACCAGGGATCAAACCCACAAGGTAGGTATGTACCCTGACTGGGAGTTGAACCCACAACCTTTTGGTGTACAGGATCATGCTTCAACCAACTGAGCCACCTGGCCAGGGCCTTCTCATGTTTTTGATTCCACTTTTATTACTTTAAAATTTTAAACACGCTAATTTTGGTATGTACCCTACAATTCCTTTCTCTGACATTCTTGAGGGGTCTAATTCTGAAATTTATTTATTTATTATTATTATTATTGTTAATCCTTACTCAAGGATATTTTTTCCATTGATTTTTAGAGAGAGTGGAAGGGAGGGAGAAGGAGAGAGAAAGAGGGAAGCATTGATGTGAAAGAGACACATTGATTGGTTGCCTCCCGCATGAGCCCTGACTGAGGCCGGAGACCGAGCCTGCAACCGAGGTACATGCCCTTGGATGGAGTGAACCAGGGACCCTTCAGTCCCTGGGCTGAGGCTCTAACCACTGAGCAACACCGGCCAGGGTTGCAATTTATTTTTACTGAACCTCATTCATGATGATTTGTTTCCTCATGTTTTTATATTTTTGGATTATAAATCCATATTTGGAAGTGTTAATCTATGGGAATCCTGTGAGGCCTGTACTAATAATATATTTCTCCAGATTCTGTTTTTGCTTCCTTTTGCTGCTCCTAAGCCACTATGAATCTAAGACCACTTTAATTTTTTAAAAAATTTTTTGCATTTTTAAAATATCTTTGTTGCTTTCAGAGAGAAGAAGGGACAGGGAGAGAGAGAGATCAAAACATCAATGGTGAGAGAGTCATTGATCGGCTGCCTCCTGCACGCCCCAGACTGGGGATCAAGCCAACAACCCGGGCATATGCCCCGACCAGGAATCGAACCATGATCTCCTGGATCCTAAGTCAACGCTCAACCATTGAGCCACTCCTGGCCGGGCCCACTTTAATTTTTAGCATAATTTTTCCTAGACTACTCCAATAGCGTATTGTGAATCCCAAGCCCACCTGAAGGAAGGTGTGTGTATATATATATGTATTTAAATATATCTTTATTGATTTCAGAGAGAAGAGAGGAGAGAGGGAGAGAGAGAGAGAGATAGAAACATCAATGATGAGAGAGTCATTGATTGGCTGCCTCCTGCATGCCCCCAACTGGGGATCGAGCCCTCAACCCGGTCATGTGCCCTGACCGGGAATCGAACCCCAACCGCCTGGATCCTGGGTCGACGCTCAACCACTGAGCCACGGCTGGCTGGGCAGTGTATATTTATATTACCTGGAGAGATATTTCGCACACTGAAAGGTGTACAAAGTAAACAGATTTCTTTACCTTTTAGCCTACCTGTTCACTTCCAACTAAAGTATAGGAACCTTTTATGCAAATACTTAGATTAGCAGCTATCTTATTGTTTTGCTAATTCATTAGCTATACCATGATGTCTCCTTTATCTTTAATTAGCATTTCTCTAATGACTAATGAGGCTGATATCTTTTCATGTTTATCAGTTATTTAGCTTTCGTATTCTTTTTTACTTTTGGGTTGTTTATTTCTTTCTATTTGATATGTAAGAATTCTTTATTCTAGATTCCATTGCAAATATCCTTTTCTAGGGTGTGATTTGTGTGTGTTCCCCCCCACACACTTTGTTCATATCTCTTACTGTCTAAAGGTGTTTAATTTTACTATGGTGTTTTCATTAAGATTAGCAATTTTGGGGGGATTCCAAGATGGCTGCAGAGTAGGTGGAAGCTACTC